ACTGCCTAATTTGATGCTGGTACTAAAAGATTTCCGTATTTGTCAACTACAAGAAGCACTGTCTTCTTGTAGTTCAGTTCTCCTAAAATACAACTTGTTTCTCGTAATTTTAGGACTTTATTCTCTAAGTATTACTATATTCTCGTAGTTTTACGACTTTATTCTCGTAATTTTATGACTATTCTCGTTGCGACTTTATTCTCCTAATTTTACAACTTTATTGACCTAATTTTATGACTATTCTCGTTGCGACTTTATTCCCATAATTTTATAACTATTGTCGTTGCGACATTATTCTCATAATTTTATGACTTTATCCTCGAAATAGAAGAAAAAAAAACTCTCTAGGCTGGCCCTAATACTCCGTTGTAAATACTTGGGTCAAAGGTCACACGATGTTGCTTTAAAAGTAAATCAAAACGTGGTTTTAGTTTTTAAAAGTATAATGATCTCATCAAAATAAATGGACTTTCACACATAATAAACAATGAAGATGATATCTGGATATCAAAAAAATACATTTCATTAGTTTTTTGTTGCAAACAGTGCCTGTTTTGACCTTAGTTGTGTTGTTTTAGTTAACATTAATAGTTTATCTACTTTCTAACATTACAGATTTTAAGTGTTAAACTTTATCTAGGTGAGAACTTTAAAGAATATTTGTCCCTTAAAGCTCAAAAGCAGAAAAGGACTCAGTAACAACATCACATACTATCTGTTTTATATCTATATCAGCTATCGTTATCATCTTTGTTCCAGGCATACTTTGTTTGATTTGACCTGGTTCCTCTGCATTTATCACAGCAACATGACCCTCATCACTCAATAGAAAGAAAACAAAACAGACTGAGGCTCCTTTAAGCCGCTTTATTGAGTTTTACTGTTTCTCCGATGTGTAAAACTTTCTGCTCAGTAACTAGTTCTGTTCCCTCTGCCAATCTTCAAATGTGCTTATTAATAAAGATGAAAAGAAGCAAATATTGGTCTGTTTCATTTGTTAAAAAGTGCAACTGGTTCATGTGGAAATGATTTCCATGCTGGATCTTCATAGATCTGCTTCTCAATGAAGAATAAATGTTTAGTTCCAGAACAATTTGCTGAGCTCTGAACATTTCCAGACCCACCAGGACATGAACGTCCACCCAGTGCGTTAGAGAAGTGCGCTTGTACTCTGAGAGGGTTGCAAGTCCCCGGTTCGATCCCCACATCCTCCACTCTTGGTTCTTGAGCAAGACACTTAACCCCGATTGCTTCCTGGGCGCCACAAAATGGCAGCCCACCGCTCCCAAAGGAGATGGGTCAAAATGTAGAGGTAAATTTCCCCATTGTGGGACAAATTAAGGGATTTAGATTATATACTTGGGGAGGACTGGAGCACGCAGCATCAATATGGGTCAATTGGAACAGAAGCATACTTATGATGTCACCACACGCTCGGCTCATCTAAAGCTGCAACCTTAGGCTAGATCATCAGAGTTGAGGACTTGAGTCTGATTTTGCTGAACCAGTTTTGTGAAACGGACCCCTGAACAGAGATGATTGGAGGAGGCTTTCTGAGTTTTATCTTTTTTGTCTGGGCTGATGTAAACACAGCCCAGCCACCGATTTTTATCTATAACACATTATCTATAACATTTTCATTTTATTTTCCCTTTTAAATATTCTGAACTTCTGTTTGTTCAGCCAAATATGTAGAATCCTCTAAGTAGCCAAGCTCTAAGATAAATCAGAGGAGCGGATGAGCTGGTAGCACTGCTGTCCCGCTGAATAGTCTTATCAAATTCTCCTTGTGCAGCCTGGGCTCTCCCTGGGTAACAATGACCATAGGCCTCCCTTGCATGTCATGTGACCTGTCCAGGTTCGTCTCCAGTTAGAGATGCTGGGAGGATAGGCTTGTATTGGCTCTTCTATTTTTAAATGAACGCCAATAGAACTAGACTCCTAACACACATTAGTTATGCTAACAATGCAAACTACAAACACTTTGCACTGCAAAAAATAGAAAATAAGTATTTTTTTTCTAAAAAGAAGTATATTATTTCTTGAATTGAGTGAGACTCTTTGCCAATGGAACTAGACAATTTGCATTTAAAATAAGAACAAACAATTGCATTGTCTTATTTCAAATGAATATTATCTAATTATCTTATTTTAACAGTAAAAATACTCATTCCATTGGCAATCATCTTATTTGCCCATTTAAATTAAGGGTAAATGCTACTCTTTGAAGAAATTTTTATTTCTTTCTAGATCGTTTTAGCAGTGTGGTCAATCTTTTAGTTTTGAATCACATC